CCCTGGAAGCCCATTCACGAGAATGTACCCGTCCTTTATATCACTTTATTTGTCGTGAGAGTACCGTTTCCCAGGTACGTCACAATATATTAATACGTTTTAAATCTTACGTCAACTCTTCTTCAAGTACGAAATATCATCGCACTGTTTGCGAAATGTCATCCTACTGGTTCACGTCCATTTTTCGTCAATTTTTTCTTTGCGAGGCAAACCGCAGTAGTTAACAGTTCGCAAGATTGGTACGAATTTCCTTATTAATTCATACGATTACAGGAATGGGAACGTTCGATCTCCAGTATATTATATGAACGCATTGTAATGCAGATACAGTACAGAGTGTTCAGAAAGTCTCTCTGCAGCGTCTTCATCGTCAATGTAGCCTCTTCTCGTCCATACTGCAAAGGGACCGTTCCGTTACCATCTATCGAATCCCTGCGTTGTGTTACTCTCTTTCCCCTTCTCCAGAGCACCTGCGGGATCACGAGTTACACTTCGCGCTAGGAATCTGTGCACATGGCTGACGTCACAGAAGAGGGAGATGGCTACGATGAATGCAGCTTCAAAAAATTCTTGAGTTCTACAGCCATGGCATAAAAAAATGGTTACGTACGTTACACTTACGTATTGTTTTACAAACAAATAATGAAACTAATATGGACATATGGTGCACAACTCTGCGGATGTACCAGACGGTAACATCGATATTACCCAAAGATTTCAGAGCAACGTGCAAAGAAATATTGTCGAAGCAACTTGTGTTAAAAGAAATAAAGAATTTCCCAAGGACTTCAAAGTTGAAGTAGTGTATAACCAAATACAAAGGTTCGCGGGAAAACCTGAAGAAAGGTTGCATCAACACGACCACACCTAAGCAATTCTTCTGCTGGACAACACAGGCCTAGTGAGAAGATTAAAGAGATAAAATATTTCGAAATAATGTAAAGTGAGGTGTGACAAGTATTTTTTTTTACTAGGAATTTCATTCAGCCTACAGCCGGTTACCCTTTGCGTTCCGATGGGACGCATTTTCGACCGTACACTAGACATTAACACACTATGCTCCCCTACACGAGAAAGTGTTTTTAAATTATAAAACGAGCTCTTAAAATAAATTTTATTCCATTCGTAGTTTAAGATAGAAAATTGCTACAAGACTAAATTGTAATAGTTATGAATATATATATTCGTGTAAGAAATCACACAAGAAAACCAATGAAGCAAATTACTACAGCGGCTAAAAGAAATGTCTGGACTATTGCAACTATCGCGCATTAAGCTACACGAATTCTGAGCAGAGATAGTAAGCTTAGATGGCTCTAGTGCGCATGTGCAAGGTCTCTTCAAGGTGCCTTCTCGCGTGTGTCCCTCCCGCTTCAACGGTCGTCGAATTGTTTTTAATATATTTTTTTACAGAGGTTATATAGATCAGTACATGATACACATTACATACGTAGTAGTGAAGGCTTTCTTTCAAATTTACCTAAAATTATATTAGAAACACATTTGGGGAGGAAATCTTCTTCAAGCACCCCAAAAGAATCCAGATCGGTAAATTTTAATAGGAATCCCTAGTAAGGGTGTTTATTTTTAATTGTAGTTCTACGAGGAAAGTTTTCCGGAGTTTGGTGTTAGCTAGATGTGCAATTTGAGGTTTGGAGAGTTACAACTGGGTAGAACGCTATGTTATACGGTGTGGAGTCAAGTTGGAATTCCTGGTGGAGTTGTAAGTTTCCGCCAAGCCCCGGAGCATTTACTATAGTTCTAAGAAATTGGTTCTGGAATATTTGACGGTTGTTGATGTTTGTTTTTGCAGGGGATATTCAAACCGAACAGGCGTAAAAGAAAAATGGTCAAATGATGGATTTGTAGGCGTTTTTGGCAGGTGGGAATGGGAAACGGTAGGCGAGTGTTCAGATGTCTCGCGCCAACTTCACTACCGGCGCAATACTTCAAGGGAAGTTCTGAGATGACTAGGTATGTGCTGGACCATCGTCCATCAGCCGTGACGCGTTTGTCTCGAACTGTCGTCTAGGAAAATAATACTTCTGACTTGTGTTTATGTATTATTTATTATAGGATAATGTGAGCGAGAAGATCAATGTGTATGGTCCACACAGACCTTCCATAATAATCCACTCTATCACAAGATTCAGCGTTCGGTCTGAAGTCGTATTTTAAACTTATTTAAATGCATAGGATGAAAGCAGTGAACTTCAAAATTCGACATCATTATACTTTTAAATCACAACGCAAAATAATAGAAATTGAATATTATATTTTTATCACTATATTTTCTCCACGTTTCCATGAAAAATATATCACCACATTTATTTTATACATATATGATGAACATTTATAATTTGCATTTGAATAGCTGCGTTATAGATTGTCGAAGTGTGTAACTAGGTTCTATATAAGTGCCATCGATACTTGAATGGTTTGTTTGACACTCACCTGGTCATTTATTGTCTCAATGTTTAAAACGACATCTTGAACTGACATCGCAAAACACTATTTAAGTAATTTTTAACTGCACATAACGTACCGGAGGTTGGCATTAGCAACTTATCGCTGCAGCTATGAAAGCTGTTTATTTAGCCAAGGTCGCCGTGAAATGATCTTTGGGAAAGTAAGTTACAGAAAGAGGCAGCAACTAAAACTGCAAAACACACTCTCGCTCTCTCGACCCATCTAGTGACACGGTTGTGGACCACTACTCACTGTTTTAAATCTAAAGATGGAGGAAATAATGCCCTCTCCGAAACGTTATGTGCAGATAAAAAATTTTTTAAATAGTGTTTTAAGAAGTCATTTTAATAATGTCATTTTAAACATTTAGACAATAAAAGACCAGGTGATTGCCAAACATTACATGTAACAATCAATGATCTCAAGAACCTAGCAACATCTTTAATTGCAACATAAATAATACTCAATTGCGCCTACGCGTGTATTGTGCATTTATGTGAATACCATCTCGCACTTCTTTCGTCTCTCGTTCTCTTTTTTCTCTTTACTGCACATCTACGTTGTCACTGATTTTGGTTCAATTAATTTTTTCAAGGTATGCATTTCACCACTATACGAGTATAATTCAATGCGTATTAAATTACATCCTCAATCGTATTACTATTTGAAAATACGTGTACAATATTCTGCATATTCTGCTACTTAGTATTTATAGTTTCGTGGAACAAAATTACCGAGATGCAGATTCTGCGAATGTTCAAGGAACAGAGTCGAGCGAGGTATTCATAAAAACTTTCAGAGTATTAAATATTCATAAAACAAGAAAATAATCCCAGAAACGACAGTGTTGATTCAAACCGCCACACAGCGAGATAAACTTTTTATTAGAGTGACGATGAAACTTTGTATTAGTTCATAACGTCGAGTTATTTACCTCTCGACTGGGAAAGTCTCTCGCAATTTCAAAGAATCTCTTTTATATATGTTCTTGTTTATTTTTCCTAAAACGTTTTTGCTTTGTTTATCTACTTTACCTTATCGTGTATAAAATATATGCAGAATTATGTTGATACACATCAGTGTAAGATATATCACATGAACGGTTTCCCGACAACTGAATTTAGTAATATATATTATATATATTTATAAAAATTCCTTAGTCTCAATAACAATAATCGAGTATGAGTCACTTTGAAAGTCTTAGTAACAATAATAACCAATAATATAAATGTAAAAAACTTACTCAGTGGAGCAAGCAGGTGCACCCGAGGCAGCAGATCTGTAAAAATATAATTTACAAAAGTTACAAAAACATCAAATACAAGATAAAAACCAATATCAACAGGTCTCTTAAAAGTTCAATAAAGAACAATGGAATAGCATGGAGTAAATATCAACATCCCCAAACATATTTACAATGCACATTGTCTGCATTTTTTTAGACACGCGGCAATGAACAGAAAAGGCAAGTACATAAAATATAAGAACTTTGACACGTAAAAGAAATGCTGTGTTTTGATATTTTGTATGGCTGTGGAAATGTCGGCTTGCCAAGGCTAAGTGTTCAACAAATTTTCAATTTCTATTTTCACACAAAAGAAAATATAGAGTTAGTTATGCTTTTCTTTAGAATGCTTCTGTGAGTACATTATGTATTTGACAACATGAAGACAATTTTTATTTACCCGAAATATGGGAAAAACAGACTTGCGAAATCTCTGGTCTAAATTTGTTAATAATTGATAATCAGGCCTCGGGCTTTCAGGTAATAAAAAGGAAAAATTTTATTATTCTGTGTTTAAAAAGTAAAAAAAAATGTTAAAACGACGAAAATGATTCTTGATTATCAATAGCAAAACCAGTAACCACGGCCGAGAGAAATCCCGAAGTAAAACGTGTTGGCATCTTCCTTATCACTGCACATTGCATCTTGCAATCTGAGGAAATTCGGTAGCAGCTCCTGTTGCTAGTGAACGTTCTAGCGCGTAGTGTCATTGTCTGAATCGCACTAGGGCTCTCAGACGTTTTGGCAGGTCAGGCTCTCAGACTCCCACAACTCAATCGAGAAGTCTCGCAGTAACGTGTCAGGTGTGAGCAAACATTGCATTTCAAACTGGCATACCTTTTTAAAATATATCGAAACAATACAAAGAACTAAACTTGAAAAACTCAAAATGTTCATTAGTAATACAAAATTTAGTGAAATATGAGTACGTAATATTTGGTATATATATATATATATATATATATATA